TGACCATTTTATTTCAGTTTTCTTTAAAACGTCCTCGTTACTGATTGTTTATAGTCCATGGTATTCTCAGCATCTTTCTGTAGAAGCATAGATTCATCTGCCTGGTTATAGTCAAATATCCACCAATATTACTTAACAGTTAATTACTGTTTTCTTTTTTTTCTTACGTGATTTTTCTGTTTTTAAAGAATTTTCTTTGCTTTTGGAAAGCATCTTTTCGGTTATTCCATGCGCCTTGGCATTTCGGTATCACATTCCCCGACCTCTGTTAAAACATTTCCCAGATATGTAAATTGTCGTACTTGATTGATTTTGACATCTCCAATTCGTAGCTCAAACCTATTCTTATTATTCACTTAATGTTGGCAAAGTTTTGAGGATGAATTGAAATGAGAAACATTAGGTAACAGTTTAGAGTTATAACTACTAAAATACTAACTAATTTTTTGTCATTTTTATTATACAAACAGGCTAAATGCGACATGTTATGTATGAATAGATCTAACAGATACAGGCTGCAAATTAAATATTTTTGATTAGACCAATATCCCAACATGAAGTGATTATTCTTTTACGACCACAAATATTTTTTTTTAATCCATTTCCCCCAAATAAGGCGATAATGCCACTAATATGCAATGGGTTACTAGGAGTGAATCAGAATGAAAAAGAAGTTAACAATTTAATTTGTTGGCTCATCCAGTTTTTTTTTTTTTTTTTTTATTAATCTCTTAATTTTCGTAAAATCTCTGAAATTTTAGAAGATTTTTTTGTCCTTGATAATATTTTTCAATTTCTTTTTTCATTTTTTTCTGATCCCTATTTAGCACTGTGCTAACACCATCCAATAGTTTAACTATATGTTCTCATGTTTATGTTTATATATCTGAAATTTTAGAAATACCAATAATATTATATCACGGTATGTGAAAGACAAAAATGCAAAGTATAGCATCAACCTTTATAATTCCATTATTTTTAATCGCATTCCTTAAGCTTATTGTAATTTATTATTGCTAAACGTGTCGGCCATTTTCCGTTTACTTTGTCTCGTAATATGTAGCATTGTTTAGAATTCCTAAGGAAGGCTCGGTGGAAAGCTGCTCTGATTAAAGAATCAGAGAACCGAGTTCAAATTGCAGTCGAGTTCGTTACATTGATGCTAATAATCTTGGAAAAAAATATGAACCCATCTCTTCTTGCTCAGCTTTGAGTAAATAACAGTTCAGACCGGATTCTATAGCATGCGATGACAGGCAGTGTAGGAGAAGGACAATTTAAACCAGCCTGGAGATGATTAGTCTCCGTCAGGTCATTTTTCTCTTGAAATACCATTGTCACCGCGGCTGTATATATATCACGTAACAAGTTAATACCCTTTTCTGTGTTGCTAACAATTTTTTTTCTATCTGTTAATACTCTGCTAGGCTTTCGGATCTCAATGTTGCCCTTTCTGTCCTCTATAAAACACTTCTCAGATATTTAAATAATCCAAGAACAATATTAATGTTTATATATATATATATATATATATATATATATATATATATATATATATGTTACGGGACCTTACCCATAATAACATAATAGACTATTCCATACGTAACAAATACTGCGCCTCAGGAGGAAGCAGAGAGTTCAGTCCGAAGTCGGACGACCGGCTGACCGGAAGATCGGTTGAATTCACTAGCTTCGGGCGGGGAGGAACCCGAACGAGGCTACGCCGAATGGCGGAGTCTCTTTCGGGGAGGTAAACCGACCCTGAACCCATTTATACGGGTTCAAAGGGCATATTTTTGGCCGAGCCTACGGGCTCGGAGATCCCACGTTAAATCGGCCTTGTGCCACATTATGCCCTCGTGCAGAGAGGAGCCCAAAGAGGATTTGCCGAAGGGCAGAGTCGCGTCTGGGAAGGTAGACAAACCCGGCCCCGTGTAAGAGGGATCTACGGGGAAGCTTTGCCATAGCCAAAATGTTCAGACACGCCCCACATAAAAAGGGCATTGTGCCACATCCTGCCTTGAGAAGAGGCTGTTAAATATCCTCAGTCCAGATTTGCCGAGTCAGGCTGTTCTCTGCTGGTCTCGCGGCTGGCTTGTCGAACTCGCCTTCGTGCAGAAAGTAACGTAAAGAGCCTATTCCGAAGGGTAGAATCACGTTTGGGGAGGTAAACAACCCCAGCGCCGTGTAATAGGGATCTACCGGGATTTGCTAGGGAAAACTTCGAGTCGCGCCACATAAAAGATAGCCTTGTGCCACATACTTCCTTGTGGGAAGATAAGGTAATTAACCTCAGTCCATATCTATCTTATCTACTAGACAGACCCACTGCGTTCGCTTGTCTGCCCTTTTTTTTCTTTTGTACAAACACCAACTCATAGTTTGTGAACTCTTTTGCCGTGTTACCTGGTGATTTGATTTGCGTATAATGTTTGCTTGCTTGCATGATACTATTTCATTTTTACCCATTTTTTATTGCAAACTTCATTAATTCTTTTCGTTGGACAGCTGTGTTTTTTTTGCCTTGCATTTTGACAATGATTTCTAATTCATCAACGGAAAAAAAACTGCTAATAATCTACAGTAATTGTGAATTTAAGTTCTTACAATATTTCACCATTCTTGGTAGACCTTCTATTATCACGATGTAAGATAAATTAATAACAAAAGTGATGGAAACATGAACAAAAAGAAAAAGAATTTAATTGAAATCTGCTGAACCCAAGCACATATATTCCAAAATGAAAATTAAATTTAAAATTCTTAGCGTCGTCTCACCTTCGTTCGCAAGCGTAGTCCTATAAATGTTACTCCTATAACGTTATTCCTATGAATTTCGAAAGGACGAAATTTGTCACCCAAAACATTTGTTTGTTTTGTTATAGTTCTTTTTTCCTAAAATGATTTTGACATTATTTACAATACGATGAACAATCCTTGAATTTCATTTCAAAATCTCACACGATCAAATTTATTTTTGTAAATATTTCTAAAACAATATACATACAATATATATCATAATCCGAAATTCACATTGTATGTTTATAGTAATATAGATCGAAAAAATTACCAATATGGGTTGGTTAAATCCAGTTTTATTATGGAAAGATTAATTCGTATTATAATGTCTGGCATCGTGTAAAGTCCTATTCACTTCTGGAAAAACTTTCATATCATGTGTCACTAATCCTTACTAAACTACTTACATGTCTGATGCAAGAAGACATCATCTTCGACAGCAATCACAATACATGAAGGAAACAAAGACATTTTAACTGACATTCGGTGTTTCAAATGCATTTGAACTGACACAATTATTTCTTTTCAAAAATCTTAAATTATTAATAGAATTTAAGACAACTTAGTGTAGGATTAGTTGAATTATGAAAAGTTCGCCTGTAAAAGTGATGTAATTAATTTTAATTTTGTAACTGCTAACATAGCGTAACATAATGTGTTTTGGTAGTTTTTAAAAATTATTTCACCGCCAAACAAACCAGGAATGCCACTAGTAAGGAGGGAAAGTGAAAGTGAAACTAAGAACAGGGAGAATTGAGTAAAGGACAAAAGATAAACCAGATTCAAAGATGGCGATTCAGGTTGCATTTACTTTTTTTAAAGGTTGTAGTTATCAGAGAAGCAAGTAAACGGAAGGGAGTTCCATAGGTGGTAGTTGCGAGTGAAGAAACTGTCGGACTAGAAGTGACCGTTGATTTTAGCTATTTCAATAGTAAAAAGAAGGGACCTACATGCCAAGATAGTAGCATGATTAAATTTATGTGGTCGAGGCACCAGGGAAAAATCTTGTTATTAAAATAGTAGAAAAAACAGAGGGAAGCCACATCATATCGATGAGAAAGTCACTGAATTCAGGATCGATTACATTACAGATTCTTCTTTGAAATTTCTCAAGAATCTCAAGATGTACAGCAGGAGCACCAGACCAGATGTAGCAATAGTAATTAATGCATGGGTATGAATATTAGATTTACTGTACAAATATAAAGCGAATTCGAAAAAGATCTCGTACTAGAATTAATATATGCCTTTTAAAATAAAAAAACGCAAATAAAAACTACATCATATTTTTAATATTGTAAAAAAGTATTGAACAGACTTCTGAAAAGAAAGGTGTAATAAGCTTTTCAAGATTTCCGTTTTTATTATTCTAGAATAATCAATAGATTAAATGTCACTCCGAAATTATGTTTCAAAACATATCAGTTAGGCATTGTCTAACGTAAAAACTAATGAGAATAGAATGAATTAATCATTGGTATGAGAGCAAAATTCTTATAATAGTTAAATGATTAGATACCATTTGATCTCGTCATTTAAAATCCTGCACAGAACCGGAAACTGGGCTATTTTCTTCCGGCACAAAATTTGAATTAACCGCGGAAAAAATACGGTTTGAGTGGGATATGGGAAATCCAAAAAAAATTATTTCTTTTATTGATTTTACAATCTCTATTAAGTATCTTTACGTAGGTGGTGTATATGTTGTCTTTCGGTGCTTGTCACGAAGATTTCAATTGCTGACCATCTCGAATGTCTATTTTTTACCAATATTATTAGTGTAATTCTGGTGTCGAAATTCAATTTATTCAATTAAAATATATCTTTGTAGATACAATATTAGAATTTTACACTAATGCTTTGTCATATTTAAAACATTTTAAAGGTAAAGTTTTTAAGGTAAATTCATATTTTTGATTTTGTCTTTCTCTGGATAGAGCTATTTGAGTTGATTTGCAACCTTCCAAGAAATTCATATCTTCCTAATTCTTCAAAAACCAAAATAACTTGATATTCGAAGGAGCAATATCTTATGAAAATGGCGACTTGGAGAAAGTGAAATAAGTTTGGCCTGGTCAACAAAGAAACACGCATATTATCATGATGAAGAATATTAAAGATCTTCCTACAAACAAAAGAAACCAGACGCTTTTCGCTTATTCACTCTAATTGCTGGAAGATGGCTTCCTCGAATAAATTGCTTACGGCCACACCACGTTGAAACACAGGTTCCTATACGATCATCGAATTTAAGCAACGTCGAGCCTGGTCAGTACCTAGATGGGTGACCACTTAAGAATACCAGATGCTGTAAGGTTAGGTGTGCGGGTGGTTTAATGGAAAAGCGCACGAAATTGTTAATCGGTGATTCCAGTTCCAATTCTAGTTGGAGTTGTTATATTCATTTACGGGCAAATACGCTTGGGAAAGGTATGAATGCACCTCTTCTGCCCCCCCTCCAGCTATGGGTTAATTAGAAAGACTTGTATCACTAAATCATGATCATCTCCCCAATCCTTATAATCTAAAAAATATTTTCTGGCTTTGAATACCCTGTAAAAGTTCAATAAACCATACAAAACGAATCAATGAATCGAATAAATTGTTTGTCTCTCCACAAAGGTACGCTAGTAAAGGAATATCACACATTCATTACATGCACAACATCTAGTTTGATGTAAGATCGGTTTTAGGTAAACTCAGTGGAGGTTCATTTCAATTTCGTCATAATTTATTCCGTTTCCCGGTTTTGTAAAATATCCACTTTTCATCGCCTGTTACAATTTCACTTAAAAATGTTTTCGTATTGAATTGTAAACTGAAATGTAGTTAAGTGGTTAATTTTCTGAATTTATCAGGATGCCACATATGTCACTAAATCAGGCAAAATGGTGCAAATAATTTATTTGCTTTGGCCATATGGAAAATATTGACTGTTCTTCTCGTCGTACAATGTTCAATATTAATCAATGTCCGCATTTCATTGATATTGCTCTAGACTGATCTAAAAGACCAGGTATTAATTTAAATTGATCTAATGGACAAACTTCTTTCAAGGAACTGGTACATTTTCTCTTATTTCTCATTATCATGTGTATGTAGTTTTGCATTTCTATCGCTTTTTAAAAATTTTCATCAAGTAAAAACAATTGCGACTTTTTTCGTTTATTCTCCAGAATCAATAAAAAAAATATTCGTCAAATGTAAAACATAAAGAAAATAACTGAAAGAAAAAATATATATATATATATATAACTTAGGATTCTTTTCACCAAATAGAATCCAGGGGCCACCTATGTCAACCTCTACTGCCGAGCGGAATATGGGAATCGTGTCCGATCAATTCTAAAAAATGTGAAGCTTGAGTGAAATTGTGTTGAACGATTATGTGAACATTGTTCAAAAATAATTATTTGAATGAAAATTAATCGAAAGAACAATTATATTAAATAATAATTATTCAAAATGCAAAATACCTTATTGCAATAAAAATGTAAAAATTAAAGAAGGAATACACAAATGGTATTTATTCGAAATACGAATATTGTTAATAAAACAATTTAGTAAGAAAAATCTTTAAAACCTAGTTATATGATACTGCTAGCAAATAATCAACCACTGTAGTTTAATCGTTAAATGAAGCCACTAATAAAAAAAAAATCCATTTTCGTCGCTGTATTTCTTGGCGCTCTTGATATTTTGCCAACCTGCTTTTACATTTGTAATATAAATTTCTTGGAAGTCCTGTTCGTTTTAAGAACATCTAAGAATTTCCTTTCTGTGGGATGATGGGATTATCCTTGCTGAAAAAAGACCTATGCCATCCTTCAAGGACGTTATTAGTTCTCGGTAAATCAGCAGGGATTCTCTCGAAGCAAAACCACATACGTATTTCAAGCATAGGTATTTTGAATAATTATCATTTACTATAAGTGCCCTTTCGATTAATTTTTATTCCAACAATATACAATTCGGATAAAAGATTTTCGAAGAATTATTTTCGAAGAATTATTTTCGAAGAATTATTTTCGAACAGTTATTTTCGAACAATTTTCTCTATACGGTGTTGATCTTGTTTCTTATACAGTGTAACCCGGATATAAGAGACCCGGATATAAGAGAAACCCGGATATAAGAGAGATTTTCTCTGGTCCCAAAGTGTTCCCGTACTTACCTAAACAAAATAGACCAAACCCGGATATAAGAGAAACCCGGGTATAAGAGACTTCTTCTCCGGTCCCGACAACTCTCTTACATCCGGGTTACACTGTATGTTGTTCAAATTAAACTTATGTTCAGTATAAATTCATTCATTTTTCTTTCTTTTTTTCTTTCTTTATTTTTCTTTCTTTTGTTTGCCTTTTAATTTCTAATTAATTTCTCTCCGATCTGTTGTCATTCGGTTAATTAATAAAGTGAATCATAAAAAAAAAATTCAGTTTTCACGTATTGCCCCTTAGGAAGCAAGTTACACATACACACACAAACACACGCAGACAAGCGCGCGCATTATGGAGTTCTTTTTTTTTTTTCACATTAGCGAATCAGAAACTTCAAGCAGTTAATCGTGACAGTCACATTTCCTGTTTTACGCAGCACATGATTCTTTTCAATGAAGAATATTTTGCTCTGTTGTGCACTAAAGGTAAACAAGTGAAATTAAAAAAAAAAATGAATGAATCATATATTAAATAACATGAAATAACTTTTGTTTTTCTAACGCACACGCACGCATTCACATACAAATAAACACACACGGTCCGAAAGTCTTGTCCTCCTATAGATAATATAATTTTCTATGACAAAAGCTGCTACAGTTTATAAGAGAGGCAGAGGGTGACAAGATTTTCGGACCAGCCTGTATATGTGTATATATTAAAATTAAATTTATGGGAAATTTTCTATATTTATAAGAAGTGTTCAATATCTAGAATAAACTGTTTTACACATTAAGCGATCATAATATTATAATCACTTATGCCATGAAACAGCCAGTTAAAATGATGATTCGACTCTTTTTATTCATATTTTCTTTCGATCTGTTTGTATTTCTTTCAATTTATCTATGTATCTATGTGTAATTAGTTATGTATGCATGCGTGTACTTCTGATATTTGAATTGATCTATCTATCTATCTATCTATCTATCTATCTATCTATCTATCTATCTATCTATCTATCTCCCAGTCTGTTCAAATCTATCTATCTATCTATCTATCTATCTATCTATCTATCTATCTATCTATCTATCTATCTATCTATCCCAGTCTGTTCAAATCTATCCCAGTCTATTCAAATCTATCTATCTATCTATCTATCTATCTATCTATCTATCTATCTATCTATCTATCTATCTATCTAAATTTGATCCTGTCTAACTTTAAATTTCTAGCTTTAAATTTGCACTCTAGATTATTGAGCACTTCTTAACTTCTAAAATTCATTTTTATGATTTTTATTTTTTACTCTAAGTCTAGAGATTATTCCCCGTATCATTTTTTTCGTACATATATATATATATATATATATATATATATATATATATATATATATATATATATATATATATTGAAAGAAGTAGTCCTCGGGCATAGATTTTATTTTTTACTCAATTTTAGCTAATTTCAGGTAAAATTCAAGATGAAAATGAATGTGATACTTGTCAAACGATATTTGTTTTTAAAAGTGTGTTAAGAATTTTTTGAGTCTGCTGTAATGCGACGCTAGATTTTTTTTTAATATTGTAGTAATGTAGCAATTCACGAATTCTGTTATTGCAAGTGATTTTTTCCCGTTAACATGACATGGACTAATTGGTTCAATCATTAAAGCAATGACTCAGAAGATTTAAAGATTTTTTTTTACTGCAGATCAATTCTTTTAAATTTTTTTAAATAATGCAGAGTACTTAATATCGTAAAGTAGTAGTCATTCAAAGAATAAATAAATAAATCAGTGCTTGCAATGTGCACCGAACAACTGATCCATTTTACAATTAATAAAAACAAGGATCACGTCGTTCAACGAGTGGTCAGTGAGTTAATGCTTTATTTAATCTGTTAGCGAAGTGAATTCGGCATTAGTTACATTAACGTTATTGATTTATTCTTTGAATGGCTACTCCTTTACAGTATTAATTAAGCTGCATTACTTTATATATATATATATATATATATATATATATATATATATATATATATATAGTAATCCGTTAGTATAATCTAAGCGAGCCCTATTAACACAATATAGAGATTTAGAATTTAAAATGTTAAATGGTAAAACTGACTCACAAAGAAAAATTTAAAGGGGTTTTAAAATTAAAATTCGTATTTGAAAATAGTCATTAACTAATGGTATCTTAATTCCAGTTGTAAGATATATATATATATATACAGTGTAACCCGGATATAAGAGAGTTGTCGGGAGCGGAGAAGAAGTCTCTTATATTCGGGTTTCTCTTATATCCGGGTTTAGTCTATTTTATATACATTAACACAGGCTCTAATTTGGGACCAGAGAAAATATCTCTTATATCTGTGTTTCTCTTATATCCGGGTCTCTTATATCCGGGTTACACTATATATATATATATATATATATATATATATATATATATTCAAACGATTCTAATATCAGACGTTATAACGAATAGGTACGTTAAGTAATAACACCGGTAACCGCTTATGAGGGCCTGGATGTAAAGGATGACAAACACTTTTATTGGTTTCTGGTAAAATCTCATAAATTTTTTACTATACCTGGGCTAATTTTCTCTTGTCAAAATTTGATCTATTTCGTTTCAATTATATTAATTTAGCAGTGATGACGTATTTCTCCACACCATTTATTCCATTAGGGGCGGATCAAATTATGTTATGTATATGATTTGAAATGATTCGACAATTATCCGACTAACAAGATTATTGGAGTGCAAATGCTTTTAATGCTTTTAAAAGCCCTACAAATGTATTTACTGCAATTCGTGGCATAAATTTCATTAATCGGGTTTATTAATGTGTTCATAACACCTAACGAACACACATATTTATTATGTTGAACAAAGACAATATTCTTTCGAACTTTTCGAGATTACATATGTGGTCAATGCTTGTATGGATGAGACTCCTAATACCATTTTGGCATGTTTGTTTCTACATTACACGGTCAGGAGAATACACTTCAAAATTTATATTCCAATCAGTTTGGCTTACAGTCACATCACGTTGATCGTACGATCGTCGAAGTGAAACAATGTCGAGCCTTTTCTATACTTTGATTGGTGAATGCTTCGCAATACCAGGGGCTCTAAGTTTG